ACATTCTTTATCTAGGACTTAATCTCTCTGGTGCATACTTCATTGCTGAAAGAAGAACAAAATTGACAAAATTACTGATCTGAGTCAGCTAATGCATTTTTGTTTAAGCAAATGTACTAAGCATGTTTTCCAATCTAAAGTGTTACTGGTGAATATAAACTTTGAATAGACTGCAATATTTTAACAGCAAAAATAATACTTTGGAAATATTATCTGAAAACTATAGTTGCTGAGTATTTTGCAGCCTTCCAGTATCAATCTAAGTCCAATCCTGAAGCCTTAGAGTGGAAAATTTTCACTCCCATTCATGCTTCTATGGCTTTTTAGCAGCTCTCAAACTAGTTTAATAGATAATGGATTATGCTGTCATTTGCAAAACTGACATTATAGAAATGCTTTTAATATGTATGCCCAAACTTGCTGATGTTCTGGACAAGAAAACTACAAGCTGCAAGCTGGGCATCCAACAACTGCACTATTTCTGATACAGAGAGGAAAATTATAATATGCAGAGATATAAGATACACTTTGAAATCATATTCAATTTCAATTTAGCTCTTTTAACTATTAATTTGTTGGGGAGGTTCAGCTTCATGGACAGTGAGACTTGTGGCTAACTGATTTCTATGTCTGTACTTTAAGCACTTACAGCCTCTCATAGGTCTTCTGTCACATTTGTCAGCCCAGGTGTCTAATGGCTATTTCTGCATGAGGAGGTAGCATGGATCAATAGGAGAAGCAAAAAGTTGATACTATTCACACTGTCCACTGTCCAAAGTTTCTCTTTGGAATAGCTCTAGTTCCATTCCACAGATGAATTCGTGTTTTTAGCTGAAAAACAATTCACTCCTCAAGCAGCCCTTCTAGTTTAGTATGAACTGAATTTCAGGTGCTCAGGCTGCATCATTTCACAAACCAAGCCCACAGCAAGTGGGGACAATGAGACAATTGATTTCTATGTCTTGCAGCAGCTGGGATTTTGTCTCAAAAGTTATATAAGATCATGAAATATATCTGGGGAACTAAATTAAGACTTGAGGGTGAGATTCAGTTCCGTTGAGATACCAACATGTAGAGATCTATAATATGAATTAGACATCTGCACGTTTTACCTTTAATAGAGGTTCGATTGACTGCTAATAAGATCCATGAATTAACGCGTAAAATAGAAACTCATCTCATGTGCAGTTTTAATTTTACAAACAACCTCTAGAACAAAAGGTTTTCTTTCCTCTCTGGTCATCATGTAGCTCCTTCTAAATGTCAGCTTGATTGGAATTAATCTTTCTGAATACTGATGATCAAATTTTTCCTTATTATATTTCCTCAGAACTTCGTGTATTAATACTTCCATAAAGCGATTCATATCTGGTATATTTTAGGGTTGCATTGTCCGTTACTGCATGGTCCTCTTAATTCAGAGTCACAGCTATGGCTTTTCTAGGAATCTGATGTTCAGTTGTTGTGTCAAAGAATCATTTATTTAATCAAATTTTTAGCAGCTTTTTTGTATCCTGGTAATTTTGAAAAACAATATCATAGTATAAAAACCAATTTCTCTGAAAAAAAAAAAAGTCATTTCTTCAACCAGTTTCCCAACAATCCTTAATTTTTGTATCATATGTATTTAACCAGTCATGTGAACTTCAACATGAAAATCATGCTTGAAACCCATGGAAGATTAAATCTGCACTTATTTTTTTTTAGAAAATATTTGTTCTTATTAAATATTATAATAATTTAATCTCATTCAGTGTACTTAAGTTATGCTATGTTCAATTTTATCTCAAGTCCATTTGCTATTATATCTTGATTCCTCTTTCCTAATAATTACTGCTAAAATCTTTGTTGCATTTCATCTCAAGACAACAGGCTTTTTGATATCAAGACCTTAACACTCATCTCTTTCTTCTTGTTAATAAATAGATGAAAAGTCTTTTTTACAGAGACACTGATTTTGTGCCACTTTTTTTCAGAAACCTTTTATGGACAACATCCATCTCCTTTATCTGATTACAATATTTCTTGTAGTTAAATATAAATAAATAAATAAATAAATAAATCTCCAAACTCTTCCCTTGATCTTTAAATCATCCTTTCTCTATTTGTTCATCTATCATTATCTTTCTCTCAGTTTCTAGTTAGTTAATAATTTAGGGTTGTTTCTTTTCCTGAATTATCCTTAATTCTACCCCAGCCCTATTTTCCTCTCTTTGCTTCCCTTCTATTTATGAAGTAAAAAACTTTTTGCTATGATACATTTTTTGTTAAAATATGTAGACATGCTACACAGGTGGTCTCTCTGTGACTGAGAGATATTGGCAGGGAAGGAAGAGAAGTCTATGTTCCTGCTGTGTGCAGCAAGTATTATATGAATAAATAAAGCATTTCAGTTTCCATCATAACCAGGCCTCTGGCTTTTTTCCCAAACACACACAAAAAAAGGGAGGACAGATGAGTGCTAGGCACCTCGAGGAAAATATTAATTTCTGAGCCAAGTAATGCACCAGCAAATGTGTTTGCAATTCCTTTGATTGAGTGATTACTCTTTCCTTCATGAATAACAGGTACTTTAACTACATAGAAATGTAATTGATAATATCCATAAGATTCATTAGGTAGCTGTCCATATGCATCTAGCTTTCTTTTCCTCCAAGGTCGGAATGTCCAAACTGTTTTATATCAGGACTCAAACTGTGTATGAGCTTCTATAATTTGCAAACATTAAAGGAATGTCCTTTCATTTTTCTGATCCTGTCAGTATATTGATGAGAACTATCACTGCTCTGCAAAGGCTATTGCCATACAAATGATGTCACCAGAGCATTGAAAATTGAGCATGTTGTTTGAAATTTTTTTTTAAATGACACCAAGAGAAAATGAAGGAAGCTTGCATCCCTGTCAGTTTCTAAAGCAGAGATTTTGTTCAAAGGTTTGACATATCATAAAAAAGTTTCAAGCCTTCTTATTTGCTGGAAAAAAATCCAAACCTTCAAAACTCTAATATAGAGTCATTTGCTTAATATAATGTTTTCTATAAAATTACTTTTAGACAAATAACGTGACTCAAATACTAGTGTATATTTTTTTAGAGCAGGATAGGAGATGCATCCTCAGGTTGTACTGGGGAAGCCTAGAGTTGACATGTCCTTCCTCTGCCCCATTCACTTTTGAAGCTATTATTTTCTTCTGCTGTCTGCTGAGAGCAGTAAGTGATTTCACATCTGAAATCAACAGAAGCACATTTTTCACTGGAATGAAATTCTGTTTTCTCTACCATAATGTTTATAAACTTCGGAGAATAAACCACCATTTCTCACAGATTCAGAAAACTGGGGATATTATCCTTTTTCTTGAAGAAAAAGGAAGAAGGAAGGAAGGAAGGAAGGAAGGAAGGAAGGAAGGAAGGAAGGAAGGAAGGAA